GTTATTCGCGAAAAACCATGGGGGGGTCCATCCGACCCCCCCCCCCTACACATGCGAGGGTTAAAGTTGGGTATCATCAGCTTCCTCTTGTCACGGGCAGCAAGCGCGTTTTTTTTTCTGCGAGCCTCTAGCTCGATCAGGGGCCAAACGGCAAGGGGTCCAACGGACCCCCCCCTCCCCTAATACGTTCGAGGCTGGCAAAACACCAATACGGGCGAGGGCTAACACCCAAATAATGCAGTTGGCTTGTAGGTACCAGCCAAATAGTTTGCTTAAAAAATTGGTCTTGCTTACAGTATTACCTACCGATAGAGAATTCAAACGATGAACTAAGTGATAACTGACCAGTGGATGACTTTAAAAAGTCGAGAGGCTTGATGGCTTTGAGGAAAGCGTATCTGTGAAATTAATCTGAAGCACATCTGCGCAGCGTTGGCGTTGTGTAACGAGTGCGGACAAAGAAATGACAGAAAGTAATTAAGAAAGATTGATGTAACCCACTCACGATTGGCTCTCGGTTCGCCAATGATTCATGAAAACTAACATTCTTCTCTCGCCTGCAGAGGAAGCCAACAGTACTTTACAGATTTCTGGTCAATGGGCGCTGCACAAGAACATTGAATATGAATTCATGGCCTTGGTTTAGACGTTTCTATTTATTTTGCAACGTGACAACAGTAAAGGCAACTAGATGATCATTTATCCATCCTGGCGAGAAGAGCCAAATGAAAGCTGTACAAGATATCTTGGCTCGCTCCGCGTCGCTTTGGCCATAAAAAGATTCGGGAGAAAATTTGGGATGGAATGGTGTTTTTCCGGTGACGATCGGACGTCTAGAAGCTTTGATATTGGCGAAAAACTTGCTGAACTTGCAAAAGTACTTGGTACTTGCTTGGTACTTGCCAAAGTACTCGGTACTTACCAAAGTACTTGGTACTTGCTTGGTATTTGCCTAAGTACTCGGTATTTGCCTAAGTACTCGGTATTTGCCAAAGTACTTGGTACTTGCATAAGAGTATTTGCATAAGTACTTGGTACTTGCTTGGTACTTGTAAAAGTACTTGGTACTTGCTTGGTACTTGCGAAAGTACTTGGTACTTGCTTGGTACTTGTACTCGCCCCCCCCCCCCGTTCCCCCGACTCTACTCCCACACCTACCCCCTCGGGATAATTCCGGGTTCGTCGGGTAGGAAAACTTGCCACTCTACTCCCCCCCCCCCCCCCACAGAGCCATTTGGTATCGATCGGTGTTGATCCCGTGTCAATCGGTCGTCAATAAGCCGAGATATGCACGGCGAATTATTTCAATCGGCGTCGATCAGAATCTTCAGAACGGAGGGACCCACACTCATTTCTGGCCGTATCTCACTTTTCCGAGATGTACGTCAAACTACGTATTTAAAACTACATATTCTACAGCCGAATCTTCAAACTGGGGGTACCTCAGACCGTGGGAACGACTCGGCTCAGCACTGCCGCACGCGCATTCAGCGGCGGCTTGTCGATTTTTCGAGTGTTGGCTGCCGATCTCCCGAGAGCCGGCCACCTGTCAGCCGCCGCTCGGCTCTGTGTTAAGCATATGGGGACGGCGAATTTCTCCCGGAGGGAAGCACCTCGCTCACAAAAGCACGTGAATCAGCCGCATTCCTGGTCAACGTCTAATGCTGAAGAGATATGTCTGTACGCAGATATCTCGCAGGCCCTAACAGAAAAAGCTCGCTGCAAAAACTGAGCAATTCAAAAAACCCGAAATCCTACTCAAATGGATAATTAAACAAGATATCTTACGCTCGCTCCGCGTCGCTTTGGCAATAAAAAGATTAAGGAGAAAATTTGGGATCGAATGATGTTTTTCCGGTGACGATCGGACGTCTAGAAGCTTCGATATTGGCGAAAAACTTGCTGAACTTGCAAAAGTACTTGGTACTTGCTTGGTACTTGCCAAAGTACTCGGTACTTGCCAAAGTACTTGGTACTTGCTTGGTATTTGCATAAGTACTCGGTATTTGCCAAAGTACTTGGTACTTGCTTGGTATTTGCATAAGTACTTGGTACTTGCTTGGTACTTGCGAAAGTACTTGGTACTTGCACTCGCGCTCCCGTTCCCCCGACTCTACTCCCACCCCTACCCCCTCGGGATATTTCCGGGTTCGTCGGGTAGGACAACTTGCCACTCTATTCCCCCCCCCCACCCCCAGAGCCATTTGGTATCGATCGGTGTTTGTCCGGTGTCAATCGGTCGTCAATAAGCCGAGATATGCACGGCGAATTATTTCAATCGGCGCCGATCAGAATCTTCAGGACGGAGGTACCCACACTCATTCCTGGCCGTATCTCACTTTTCCGAGATCTACGTCAAACTACGTATTTAAAACTACATATTCTACAGCCGAATCTTCCAACTGGGGGTACCTCACTCACAATCGCACGTGAATTCAGCCGCATTCCATGTCACGCGCAATGCTGAAGAGATATGTCTGCACGCAGATATCTCGCAAGCCCTAAGAGAAAAAGCTCGCTGCAAAAACTCACCAATTCAAAAAACCCCAAATCCTACTCAAATGGATAATTAAACAAGATATCTTGGCTCGCTCCGCGTCGCTTTGGCCATAAAAAGATTCGGGAGAAAATTTGGGATCGAATGGTGTTTTTCCGGTGACGATCGGACGTCTAGAAGCTTCGATATTGGCGAAAAACTTGCTGAACTTGCAAAAGTACTTGGTACTTGCTTGGTACTTGTCAAAGTACTCGGTACTTGCCAAAGTACTTGGTACTTGCTTGGTATTTGCATAAGTACTCGGTATTTGCCAAAGTACTTAGTACTTGCTTGGTATTTGCATAAGTACTTGGTACTTGTAAAAGTACTTGGTACTTGCTTGGTACTTGCGAAAGTACTTGGTACTTGCACTCGTCCCCCCGTTCCCCCGACTCTACTCCCACCCCTACGCCCTCGGGATAATTCCGGGTTCGTCGGGTAGGAAAACTTACCACTCTATCCCCCCCCCCCCCCCCAGAGCCATTTGGTATCGATCGGTGTTTGTCCCGTGTCAATCGGTCGTCAATAAGCCGAGATATGCACGGCGAATTATTTCAATCGGCGCCGATCAGAATCTTCAGGACGGAGGTACCCACACTCATTCCTGGCCGTATCTCACTTTTCCGAGATCTACGTCAAACTACGTATTTAAAACTACATATTCTACAGCCGAATCTTCCAACTGGGGGTACCTCACTCACAATCGCACGTGAATTCAGCCGCATTCCATGTCACGCGCAATGCTGAAGAGATATGTCTGCACGCAGATATCTCGCAAGCCCTAAGAGAAAAAGCTCGCTGCAAAAACTGAGCAATTCAAAAAACCCGAAATCCTACTCAAATGGATAATTAAACAAGATATCTTGGCTCGCTCCGCGTCGCTTTGGCCATAAAAAGATTCGGGAGAAAATTTGGGATCGAATGGTGTTTTTCCGGTGACGATCGGACGTCTAGAAGCTTCGATATTGGCGAAAAACTTGCTGAACTTGCAAAAGTACTTGGTACTTGCCAAAGTACTCGATACTTGCCAAAGTACTTGGTACTTGCTTGGTATTTGCATAAGTACTCGGTATTTGCCAAAGTACTTGGTACTTGCTTGGTATTTGCATAAGTACTTGGTACTTGTAAAAGTACTTGGTACTTGCTTGGTACTTGCGAAAGTACTTGGTACTTGCTTGGTACTTGTACTCGCCCCCACCGTTCCCCCACTCTACTCCCACCCCTACGCCCTCGGGATAATTCCGGGTTCGTCGGGTAGGAAAACTTGCCACTCTATCCCCCCCCCCCCCAGTGCCATTTGGTATCGATTGGTGTTTGTCCCGTGTCAATCGGTCGTCAATAAGCCGAGATATGCACGGCGACTTATTTCATTCGGCGCCGATCAGAATCTTCAGGACGGAGGTACCCACACTCATTTCTGGCCGTATCTCACTTTTCCGAGATCTACGTCAAACTACGTATTTAAAACTACGTATTCTACAGCCGAATCTTCCAACTGGGGGTACCTCACTCACAATCGCACGTGAATTCAGCCGCATTCCATCTCACGCGCAATGTTGAAGAGATATGTGTTTCCGCGGGTATCTCGCAGGCCCTAAGAGGAAAAGCTCGCTGCAAAAACTGAGCACTTGAAAAAACCCGAAATCCTACTCAAATGAATAATTAAATGAGGATCTCTTCTGTGTCTATAATGGCATATATTTATGTATGATTTATGTCATAATAGCATAGATATTATAATAGACATCTAGACATGTTACTTATGCTTCCGCTTATTTCGACTCGTATAGACGTCATGCGCTCTCGTACTTATCGGACGCAAATAGCTGATATGACCGAAGAATGGTGCACTCGGTCCCAGCGGCCGCGGGTTTCGTTCCCGTGAGCGCCTCAAACCCTTGGGCAACTTTATAAAGGTTTTTTATTTTCAGCGTACATAACTTTGGACACCTGGTGATTGTGAAATTGTAGTTAAAGTCATTACTGAAAATATTGTGAAAGTCGCAATCAAATCATAACATACAAATAGGCCAGCGCTGATATTGTTTTGGGGATTTGTCGCTGCAGCAGATGCCTAGACATTCATATACCCTATATCGACACCTTTTTTTAAACCCCACATTTGTTCTCCGGTGAATTTCAGACAAGCTGGTTAGAGACCTTCAAAAAAGGTACAATCACTCGATTTTTCTCAAGTTTGTCTGTCTTGGCAGATAAAGCAATACCAGAACAGGCCTACGAACACACATATTTGATCAGGATCGGACGATTGGACAAGGCTTTTAAAAGGAGATCTTTCGTGCCTCCCGGAAATTCACGGGAGAGCAGATGTGGGGTTTAAAAAAAGGTGTCGATATTTTTGCAAAATTAAGGACATATTACATCGGGCGAATCACGCAGGAGCAGGCGCAGTGATTGACATATGAGATCTGTCATCCGTATGCGATCTACATGCAATTGGTCGTAATTGTTGCAAATATGTAATTACGATAACGCACAGAACTAATATACATCTGGAAATATGACAGAATAGGGAAGAAAGATGCATCCTCTTACAGCTAATGACAATCCTAAGAGAAGACACGCAAATGTGCGATGGTGAATGACATTATTGCTTAGTAATCAAGGTTATTCCTGGCACAAAGAGAGGAAACAGGGATTTCTGCGCACGTCTCGGATATCTGATAACGTCGTCAGCTACTCCCGCGCGGTGAAATATCCCCACACTGATTCAATTGTGACGTGTAATCAAAATCCGTCAATAATTCATATACGATGCCGTCGGTCTGTCGGCAGTAATATTAGAAATATTTGGTTAAAACAATACGATAACAAGACATCGATAGACGATACCTATACCTAACTTCTTATTAGCGACACCTTACGTCTACTTAGCACCGGAATAGCACGCTGGAGTGTTGACTTTGTAGGCCAACACCACTGTCATTGCCGTCACTAGTCTGATACCCATTCAGGGCCGCGGAAATCCACCTGGCTGAGTTCACACTCGGCGGCTCTCACGCCCAGCCTCCGACAGCCATCGATCCTCCCTGGGGCCATCCGCCGGGTTCAATCTCGACCGGGCGGGCGGCCGCAACCAGCGTCTCGTTCCGGGAACTCGGCGGCAGCTGCCAACGGCGCGCGTTCTCTTCAGCTCGCCAGTAAGCATTGCCGTTTAATGTTCCGCTGATTGGGGATTAGTGAAACGACGGACGACGGCGGCTGAGAAGATTTGCCTCCCGCCGAGCCGACGGCGGCGCAGTCAGCACTCAGCAGTCGCGGGGTTAAAGCGAAAACGTCCGCCGATATTGTATACATAATCACTCGCTTGGCCCGTTGCCGGCTGGACGGGCGTTCCAGGTGAACTCTGCCTCTGATATATCTGTATCAGTCACAGACCGATTCACTGAGCGCTGCTCTCCGCGTTCGCTCACCCTCTGACCGTCGCTGCGGCTCGTCCGACGACTCGCCATGTATCCTGTGAGCGGCGCTGCGGCCGCAGGTTCCGTCTTCCGTGCCGGTGCGGCGGAGATCCATCGGCGGCGCTGCCGATCCCGGATCGAAGCGCCACTCGAACGAATCCCCTTCAGGCGGTGCTGAGCCGCTCTCGGGCGCCGGTCGTCACGGACGGCGGCCGCCCAGTTCCGGGTCACCGGCAGGGTCCGCCCAGTCGCGCCCGGCTAAAAGAAACCGTCCTCGTCCGGACAGGCGAACCGGCCGAAGCCGGGGTGGGAGCCGCGCCGTCCCGACTGGTGCACCATGGTCGGCCCCAGCCGGGTGATCTTGTGCAGCGGCGCAAACAGGCCAAAGTTGGGCGGACAGTGGAAGTACCTGACGACCAGACGGAAGGAATCGCGTCAAAGAGGGGAACAAAGAGGGAAAATCATACTTGCATGTGTTCTTCAGACTAGACACACATGCAAGGATGATTGTGAATCAGACTGTGGGCTCCTGGTTCATCTATCACAAACATTGGTTAACATTATGTGTACCACTACCTACTTTTACCTTTATTGTTGGTGGTCACAAATCAATGAACATGCCTCTTCCCTTCATTATTCCCCTATGGCTTCGCAGGCCCGCTATGATTACAGATAAGCAGTAAGCACATATGTATATGAAAATATTACTCTGGATATCTCTATCAAGTGATTGATACATTTTAGATGCTGAAAATATGAGTGTATTTTTGGTGGAGAGCCAGGTCATAGACTCGTCCAACATGCACTGACAGCTGTATGAGACTGCTCGCCGTCTGGGATAGATATTCAGCTCGCTGAACAGCATCTATTGCAAAACTAAAATAGGACGTAAACATGACACACTCCCGTCTCTGAAAGAAGCCCAGTGAATGGCATAGGCGGCGGAACGGGGAGGGCACCGGGGCACCGTGCCCCCCTTTGATTTTTGCATTTTAACATTAGCCCTATGGGCGTTGCATGGAAAGAATGAGACCAAAAGTCGGTAGTGCTCCCCCTTAACCCTCGCCCGCACATGCCATTTTCCCATCCTAGAACGCACATGGGGGGGGGGTGGTTGCCACCCCCCCCCGCGCCATTTCGTTCCTGTTGGAGATAGAGCTTAGCAGTAAAGACCAAAAAGATTCTTTGGGAAGAGACGAATCCAATGATACCCAGTTTTACCTTCTCAGGTCAGTCATTGACCTTCCAGGTCAGGTCAAACTAAAAAATGTTGCTGTTTTGGGTCACCGTTGGATATCAAGTGCGCTGCTTAGCAAATACCGATGACGATGCTGTTTTCTGGTGCCAAGCCAGCTAGAACCTCTTTGTCACACTATCCGACCAGAATTTTGCTGCTGAGGTCATTTCAGGTCAAGTTAGGTCAAGGTCAATTATATGTGTTTGTATGTCTGTGTGTGTCTGTGTGTATACTGATGTGTGCACCGATTGTTTTTGGGTCCATATCACATGAAATCATGATCTGAGAAGCTTTTACCAAAAATGCAGTCAAAAAAAACTTCACAAAAAGTAAATTCAGCTTGCCTAAAACGCAATTATCTTAGATGACCTAGGTTGACCTTGACCCTGACCTTGACCCCTGTACATCGTCGAACAACATGTTCCATGATAGGTGGGAGGTAAGACTGGCAAAAAAGGCCGAAATCAGGGTGTCAAAAGCTCACAAGGCCCATGGCAAACGCAAGATGTTGAGAATTGGCCATTTGGGTCATGACATGACCTGAAAAACAAGGTCATATCTCCGAAACCAAAAATCACAGAAACTTGAAATTTTCAGTGGACATCAAGAAAGGATAGACGAGCAGCTATACGAAAAATCAGCCTTCTAGCTCTAAAAATGTTAGGTGCAGAGCAGAAAGACTGTCTGGGGGGGGGTGGCAACCACCCACCCCCCCCCCCCCCCCATGTGCGGGCGAGGGTTAATTGAAGGTGTTCCGCCGCTACTGGTGAATGGCGTTGAATGCTGCATACTGATACATTCAGCTTTGCATGTTTAGATTTCGACGTCTGCCTCGCTACTCAATGTGTCGTATGCAGATCGTGATGACTCCAGCGATATGTGTAGCGTGCACGTAAAGCAGGATGAATTTCGAAATACCCGTTGATTTACTGTAATCGTAGACCATTTCTGCCTAAAGCCAGGTAACTTTTTTCATAGAAAATGCACAGTATTGTACGAACCGAAATTATATCAATAATGTTTGCATGTTCACGGATGTCACGTTGATACCTACCCATCATCAAACTCCGCAAAAAGCAGTGATGTTTAAGACATTTTCTAGAGCAGCCATCCAATCGTGTAACAAGCCGCTGCATTGGTTTACTCGCAAAAGAAAAGGTATAGATAACAGTTTTGAATGTGACCTCGCATCCGCCAAAGGAGCTTTAATTACGTTTCGATATCTATTTTGATCTTCTCTTCCAACCGATCATGCAACGACTGGCCTCGTGCCATCTAACTCGATGGCCGCCCATATAAGTTTTGGGTTCGAGAGCGGTCTCCTTTCCAAAGTTGCCCAAGAATAGCGATTAGACGGTGTTGTTGGTTCGATGGAAGCGTCGATTTCAGGGCACCATTTAGAGCGCCACTAACAGATGCGTTCAGTCTGCTCCATCTATTGTGATGGATGTTTAACAAGGGAAGTTTCGGGGAAGCATTTACGAAAACCACACATCCTTGCCAATATAGCATTGTTTTGTCAATATGTTCATCTGATTCATCTCTTTCTTATCCAACTTCCGTAAACAATAACATACAAAGGCCCTGAGGCATTTGTGCGAATAAAGAGCGCTGTGTGCTTACTCGTGTTCCGTACAGCGCCGTCACACGGGACCAGCCTTGGCCGGCATTACTCAGATCCCTTTTCATCCCGGGACAGGCGATCCCAATCCCCTGTCACGCCCACACCCGCGGGGAACTGATGACTGGGCAGCGGCGGGGGGGGGGGGGGTCGGCCCCAGCTGGCCGGCCGGCCGGTCCGCGCGCGGTCCCGGAGGAGGCGCGGCCCTCCCAGCGGCCACCCGCGGCAGCCGCTTCCACACAATCAGCTGCGGTCCCGACCTCGGCGGCCGCCACTCACCGCACGCCGGCCACGGCGCCGTCGTTCCTGCCTCGCGGCTCGTCCAGCTCCACGCCGCCCCACATGCCCTCGGCGAACTCCGTGTGTCCCATGTAGCGGAGCAGGCCGACGCGGCGGCCGCCGGAGCCAGCCACGGCCACTCGGTCACCGCAGCGCAGTCCGCCCGGTACGTCCGTGTGGTGTAGCGGCACCCAGTGCACGGCCGGCGGCTGGCCAGACGTTCCTGCGGCGGGGGAGGGGGGAGGGTGAGAGGACGGTAAGGGGTGACAGTGGGGTCACAGCGGCACCCAGTGCACGGCCGGCGGCTGGCCAGACGTTTCTGCAGCGGGGAGGGGGGGAGGGTGAGAGGACGGTAAGGGGTGACAGTGGGGTCACAGCGGCACCCAGTGCACGGCCGGCGGCTGGCCAGACGTTCCTGCGGCGGGGAAAGGGGTGACATGAGGAGGGCAGGCCGTGTGTCCTGCCACTGCAGTGGACAGGTGTGTCACAACATTGGACAACCATCACTCAATGCTAGCGCGGAACAGGTGCGGGTCGACATGGGTCGGCAGATGTCCCCCAGAGAGGCCTACTGGCGAAGAGCATAGGGGTATTAGCATGATGGGGGCTTCAGCAATCACACGCACAAGGTTACAACCTAGCAGAAGCTGAACGCGAGGTTGAAACGCGTCTGTGCCTATTTGGCAGTGAATGCATTTTAAATACTTTACTGGAATGCTTACTGCTTACCTTATAAAGAAGAGTGTTTGATTTTTTCAAACAGCCTGCGTTCACTGGATATGCAAAAGAGTGAAATACCTATTACTTAGGCATTGCATTTATCATTTATCTCCACATACCTTTTTTCTAATCAAGCAACTTGTATTTTATATTTCCGTCCTGCTGAAGCTTATCAAATAGGGAATGCACAAAAAAAGGTCTTAAATATCATTGCATATCTGCGCCATATTTTCGCTAAATTTATAAAGCTCCTTCTTATGTCTCCGCGATTCATTGTAAGCCCAAAGAGCCGCGTTACAAGTTGCGTGAAAGCCAATGACGTCAATTTCATAGAAATAGGATACCAAAGCGAAACCTACAGTGTCAATCAAAATCACGGTAAAAACCTAGCCAAGGTGGCCAATGGAGAGAAAGCCAGCTTGCAAAGTATTTGAAACATTGAACGGGATTCATGAAATTAACAACAAACCCACCAAAAAAAAAGTTAGGTTTGAACTCTAAAAAAAAATCAGTATCCGTTTGATATTAGGAGAACAAAAAAGGCGTCCAATTGATAGATATCTGGGACGAAATTCCCGAGATAGCACCGTGCACTATCTACACACAGAAAAATATTGACACCGTTAGCGGTGTAATTGCACAGTACATATCTGAGCACTTGAGGAAAGTTAATTTAGTCCCTTCCCCGCTTAAATTACTCGCGCTTCCAAATGAACACCAGGAAGAAGGTAATAGAACACTGTTAGGAGGGTTGGGTGTTTTACTACATGCAGCAAAACACCCAACCCTCCTAACAGTGTTCTATTACCTTCTTCCTGGTGTTCATTTGGAAGCGCGAGTAATTTAAGCGGGGAAGGGACTAAATTAACTTTCCTCAAGTGCTCAGATATGTACTGTGCAATTACACCGCTAACGGTGTTAATATTTTTCTGTGTGTAGGCATGCAGGGGCTTACTGCTGCGACTCTGCATGGTTAACATGCAAGGGCGACAAGGAATGTGGAGTCTCTTTGATGAATTGGATTTTAAGCCAACATGCCAGTAATTGCATTATGATATTCTACCGTCTTAATCTCTGTCATTGTGATACAATGATTCAGACGTTAACTCAAAGCATGTTAGCTGGATCGCACAAAATATCCTGAAATGGCGGATGCGTGTCTTGACGAATTAATCAACCAGTAAAACGCCTTTTGGGCGAAGAACGAGCGAGCGAGATAGTGAGCCCTGCACGTGCGGAAGGGCGATAGGGTACTTCCAACGGGCTTGTGCATAGCACCTTTCTAACCGGTCGCTAGCGGTGTGCCAAATTTGAACGCAATCGGCCCAGCCGTTCCTGAGATCTGGAAGCGGCATTCTGCACGTGCGCACGTGCAAACGGGTCCAAAATGACTTTTGCACGGCACCCTACTAACTGGTTCCCAACCGTGTACCAAATTTGAGCGCAATCGGCCCAGCCGTTCTCGAGATCTGGAAACGCCCCCTGCACGTGCGCACGTGCAGTAACACCCTAACCGCAACACATGGGAATGCATTGCCTGGTGGGCGCCTATCTGTATGCCAAGTTTCAGCGAAATCGCCCCAGTAATTACCGAGTTACTGAAATGGGAACAAATTTGGCACCTCTTATTGTTGTATTTTGCACGTGCACTGGGGGTGAGCCACATGCATCGAGAGTATCCTATTTTGGGTAGAAGGGATGCTGCTACCCTACAAAAATTACCGCAAGTCAATCGCCCAAACGGCTGCTGAGATATGAGCCTCTCAAAATCACTACTTTTGCAAAACAGCTTGAACACCCTTGATTTTTCACGTGGCACGTGCGACGATGGTCACTGAGATGTATCAAAAGTAGTCAATTACGGGGTAGAAGGGATGGGGCTACCCAACAAAAAAGACCGCAGGCCAATCGGTCCAGCGGTTGCTGAGATATAAGCCTCTCAAAAGCGTTACAGGCCGGGCCGGGCCGGGCCGCTCATACTGAGATTTTTCCGTTATATTGAAAAGACTCACTTCGCTCGCTGCGCTCGCTCGCTCGTAATTAGACTGTATTTGCTAACGGGTCCGGACAACGAACAGCCCTGGCCTGGCCGTCTGGCCCGCAGTGCCGCTGACACTTTGTGGGTAAAATAGACAATAGACAGTTTATGTTTCTTCGCTTTGAGAGCACATAGTGAGCATTTTGTTTGTGGATTTTTTATGTTAATAAGGCCCAGATAAAGCGCATTCCATAGCCCTTTTACAGATCTTTCTGAGCTTTGTTCTCAGCTTTGACCTCAGGTCAACGGTTTAGCCTCCAGAGGGCAAAAACTGTAAAAATAGAAGTTTTCACGAAAATGATTTTTCGTCAATAACTTTTGACTCAAGAGAGCCATGACATTACTTTTGGCAGCATTGTGTTCCTCTTGTAGATACACGTCCAATGAACTATTTGTTGACCTTGAAAGGTCATTTTGAAAATTTGACCTCAGGTCAAGGTCATGACCTGACCAGAAAGGGTCATGTTGCATATCAGTCGATCCGTATCGTCGAGCTGAATACATCTGACGTGTTTTCATCGCTCTAGCACGTCTTTATCAAGAGTTATAGCAAAAAAAAACTACTGGTGACCGTTCAACACCTGAGATGACCTCAGGGGTCACAGGTGCATTTTTCCTATTCAGTGTGTCATGTTTACCCCTGAACCGATGTTTGAGAGGGCTTTGAACATCATTCGTCCAAAAGAGGCGCATTTCAATTTTCTCCCGTTGACTTATAATGGAGAGGTCGCAAAATTGACCTGACCTTAGGTCATCGATATCAAAATTCCAAGATACACATTTGTACATACTGTTACTCTTATCAATAGCTGAAAGTTTCAAGGCGATCGTTCAGTCGGCGTAGTTATGAAGAGGATTGAAACTTTTTCTGAGGTGAGGTCACTTGGCCTGACCTAGTGACCTGACCTTGAGAGCCCTGGGTCTGAAATTTTCACAACATGTGTGGAAATGATGCATAAACAGGTGTGCCAAAAACGGCGGCTCTCCTCGCCGCCGTGTTTGAGATATCTGCGAAAAACCACAGGGGGGTATTCAAACACCCCCGGCCCGGCGCGGGTTAACCCTCGCCGGCCGAGGGGGGGGCGGGTGCCGCCCCCCCATAGGGTTTTTTCGCGATAGCTCCGAACACGCTGGCGATAGAGAGCTGAAACTTGGCATACCTGACGTTTGATCCAAGCCGGATCTTTTGACACCAACCGCATTTTTGGGTCAGGTCAGGTCACTGACCTATGACGTCATAAGTGAACCTCTGCACGGTCTTCAGATGTCGCAACTTCGCAACGCCCTCACTGCCAGAGGAGATGTCACAGGGAAATGAAACTTGCAGGATCTAGTATCCATTATGAGTCCCACAACTTGTATATCTCGGATTTTTCCTAAAGGTCATATGAGGTCAGGTCATTTTCGTGACCTCACCATTATAAGTCAATGGGGAAAAATGAAAACTGCTATTCTGGCGCCGGGAACGATCTCCAACTATCTCAAGCACACAGAATCGTGATTTGATGCACTCCTTGCAAGGTTAGATGCGTCACTTTTGCAATGTTGACCTTGCGTGACGTCATTTATGACGTCATCAAGGTCATATTGGTTTTTCGTCCATAACTCTTGATCAAATTGAGCTAGCGAGTCGGGAAAGCCACCAATGGACTCAGGAAGGCCTGCCGAATCGAATGATATGCGACATGACCTCTTTCGACCAACTTCGTGACCTGGGGGTGCTGACCTGACCTTGACCTGAGGTCAACACCCCAAGTTGACCTGACCCGGACAAAAAGTATATCATTCGACGCGCCTGAGCGAGGCGAACACGATGCTGCCAAAATCGGCGCTCTGCGGCCGTTTTTTGCGAAGTTATTCACCAAAAACTGAACCGTACCTTGGAGCACTTGACCTGACCTCAGAGGTCACCGGTTGACCTAGGATCTTAAAATCGGGTACCAATCTCTGCGTCTCGTAACGGCGCACACGCTCGTTTTTTCCGCGATGCGCTAGCTCCACCAGGGGCGAAACGGCGAGGGGGGGGTCGTACCCGCCCCCCCCCCCTCGGCCGGCGCGTATGTAGAAAACCAATAGGTCCGGCGAGGGTTAAAGGAAATTCACTATTCACTGTGGACCACTTTCACGAAATTAGTTTTTTTTGCAATGGATTTAAGATTTTGTATGCTCAAAATGATCAGCAAGCAAAATGAAGCCTTTTAAAGGAAATATTATTTTATATATTTCAATATAGGAAGAACTATTCAGTTTTAAAAGAGAGAAATGGCCCCTGCAAGGCACACATTCCTCAGCAAGGCACTTTTTTCGGGACGAGAAATGGAATATCTTTGCCAAGGGTGATCGTTGGGCCGTAAAAGCTCCTGATTTGTGCTTGTCTTAGCCCAAGCTGCGGAACTGCTATTCCAGTTCAAAACCCCATGTTAAAAGTGAACTATTTCCTTTAAGTGCCAGCAGTTCAAATTTAG